CCATGATCACGTGGACGTCTCGGGGCTCTACCTGGTCGCCTCTCACCGTTGCCACCCCATTTTTTGGTGGAAATTTCATGTATAGGTGGTGGATGGAGGTGACTGCTCCCAATTCCTTTATGGCCGGTCTGCCCAAGACTCCGTGATAAGCCGACCGACTGTCGACTACGAGGAATTCCATAAAGTTCATTGTAGTTTGAGGAGATTCTCCCATCTCCACTGCCAGTGTTATCTTTCCTCTCGGAGTGATGCTATCTCCGGTAAATCCGTACAATGGAGTGGTGGTGGGCGTCAACTGATGGTCCAATATCATCTTGTCAAAGGTGGACTCGAATAAGATGTTGACGGAGCTGCCGTTGTCGACTAGCATTCGTTTGAGCCCATTTCGGGCTATGACAGCCCTCACCACCAGCGCATCGCAGTGGGGGTAATGAACTCCTTCGGCGTCTTCCTGGGTGAAGACAATGGGTGGTACTTGGTTTCTTCGAGAGCTATTATCCACAATGTAGCTCGTCAGAGGGGGGGTGCTTAGCCTCCCTAGCATAGTTTCTTTTGGCATTCCGTGTTTCACCGCCAACATAAGGGCCTCCAAATATGGTATCTATCTCGTGGATAGGGGCCTCATCTTGAGCTTGCCTATTTCTTCGGTGTCTACGCCCTTCCGTGGGCCTCTCTGTGTCTTGCTCTCTTCGCCTTGGGGAGACATCCCTTTGACGAGGAGCGACCGCCTCACACCCATGTCGGTTGTCTTGCCTGAGCGAGGGCCTGTTCACCTGGGGCGAGTTATGTCTTTCCTTGGCGGGTTCCTGCCGGGAGCGGTGTGCATAATCTCTGCAATCCGTGGTGTCGTGCCCATAGGACCTATGGTGCAAACAGTATCCAGGGAGGTTCGGATTGGACCTATTTCTAGGTGCAAAACCTCGGCCTCGGCCTCTCCCTCTACGGGGTCCCTGCTGGGCCTGTATCTGATGTGGGTCAGCGGTTGGGTTGACATCCTCATACGCCAAGGTTGGCACCGCATTCAGAGTTGTGGTGGCCAGGGCTTGGCCGGAGTTCTCATTTCCAGATCAGTTCATCTGGTAGTCCATGAGGTGGGAGGTCGGTCCCCTACCTCGCTGTCTTTGAGGAGGTGGGAGGCCCCTGCTTGCCCTGTTTCTATGCTCAATCAATTCTTCATTGATGATCTCCCTTCTCATCATCTCTAGTAGGGAGTCATAAGTGGTTAGGTATTGATTCTGCACATCCCTCCAGAATAGGGTGTTCATGTTCAATCCTCCTCTCAATGCAGATAGTGCTTCTCTGTCGGTGACTTGTACACAGTAGGTCATCTCGTCGGTGAAGCGGGATAGGAAGCTTTTCAAGGACTCGCCATGCACCTGTCTCATGTCTTGAAGACGCTGAATGGGGGCCTCTCCTTCCTTGCTCACTGCGAACCTCTTCAAGAAGGTAGTTTTTGAACTCGGGCCAGCTTCGGATGCTCCCAGATGGTAGCCTACTATACCAGATTTCAGCCGCTCCACTGAGGGTTAAATGGAATGCTCTGCACTTCACAGCTGGGGTGGCGCCCCTCAGGCTCATGTGAGTTTTGTAAGCGTTGAGGTGCTTTTTTGGGTCACCTCTCCCATCATACTTTGGTATTTTTGGCATTATATAGTGGCTCGGGACCTGGGCATTTCTCAGTTCTCTTGAGAACGGCAGGTTCTCATCATCATCGTCCAAGTCACAGGACCTCTGTTGCTCATCAGAATCGTAGTCTTCGGCCTCGTACCTCGGTTGTTGGTGAGAGGGTCCGGGCCGGTTCCTAGCCTTTTCGTCCTTCCTTTGCGGCCTACTTCTAGGCGGGACAGCGCGGGGGGCATTTTCGTGCCTTCTCTCCGGCTGCTGGGGCATCGAAGGTGGAGGCTGTGGCCTCGTCCGAGGCTGCTGAGCCTGCTGTTGACTGGGTCTTAGTTCGGCAGGGCTGATTCTGTCAAAAACACTTCCTGCTCTCCTCTGTCTTGGGTCTTGCTCATATGGAGGTGGAAAGTTATCAGGGCTCATTTGGACCTCGGAGGGTCGGCCAGATGCATAGTTGGAGGAAATGTCAACTCCCACTTCCCTCTCGAATGGACTTTCACCTCGGCCATAGTCTGGCGTGGCAGCTCTATGACTTTGGACCTCGTCCTCTTGCTGATAGTGCCCATGGGGGGCATATGGAGGAATGGGGAAACCTCCTTGGCCTTGCATCTGGGCCATGAGCTCCCTCATGGCCAAATTTTGGTTGGCTATATCCCTCATGTTGCCTGCCATGGTAGCCATTTCTCTTGATAGTCGTGCCGTCGCACGCATTCTACCTCTCCTTTGGTGGTGGTGGAGCCTCTGCCGAGCTGCTGGGACAGCAGGCTGGGGAGGCACATTCGTATTTTCTCTTACCCTCCTTGGGGGAGTATCTTCGTTAAAACTCATTTTTTCCTTTATCAAACTTAGATTTCTCTAAGCGATAGGGGTTCCTCCTGTTCTTTTTCAAGAACAAATCCTTTTTCAAGGGGGGTTGCCCAAATATTTTTCAGTAAGCTTCTACCACAAGGTTGCTCGTGGTTATGGTATGGTTTCCCACAGACAGCGCCAATCTGTTGACCCCAAAAAGTGCGTCAACAGATGCCGGTCCCACCCGCGCTTGCGTGGGTGAATGTCCAACACGCTAAGACACGTGGACGGTCTAAACAAGCGGTTCAAAGGGGCGTGGGAGTAGCCCAATGACGCGGGACGGTGACGTTCGGAATCCAACGGGTTATTCGTAATCCGATTGTACAATAATTACCAACCGGTGCTTGTAAATGTATGTGTAAAAGCGTATGAATTCGATTTGTGTATTGCAAGTAACTGAGAGAGTTGAGTAAATGTAGTCTTTAGTATTGATTCTTGCATTAGCCTTTTACATTATACAATGGGGGTATTTATAGTGATACATATGGAATGGGAGCCCTTGGATGAAGTGGCACGTGGCCTCATCTCCTTAGTTCAAATGTCTATTCTTAGGCATGGGACTTGACTTGCTAGCTTAAGGCGTATTTATTGCTTGTGCAGGACCTCTATGCTAGTGACAAGACTTGACCTTTATGCTTATGACAAACATTCCATCAATCATTCGAATAAGATCTGTGCAGGCGATCTCTTGGGAGAAGTGACCATGGAGGATGTTTCCTTGTGGTTAAGAGGCTCGTGCATCAACTTCGGGGCTTCGTCCGTTTGAGGACCTCAGCTACATCCAAAGGCTCCCCGCCTCGGGTCATGGGCCTCGGTTAGAAGCACTTTGGATATAACCCACCTCGACAATGTAGGCCACCTCGGCAGGAATGCCACGTGGATCAGGATGAGTGTACCATTGGCCCAGGTGGGTAGGACAGGTGTGACAACACGCAACATGGACCAAGCCTTCGTTCTCTCTACAACATCTCTATTAAATTTTAGTTTACTAGTTGGAGCCCTCTCCCATTTCCTGTCCCTTCCGATTCAAGTCTCGTCGTAACAATCCCTCGTAATCATTGAGAAGTGGCAATTTTATAATTGTTCACTTTGATAAAAAAAGTGGACAGTTATTTTAATGGTTCATGAAACTGTCTCTCTCTGCCCATAAACGTGAATGGAACCCATCAATTAATCAATTCAATTATAGAGATGGGGAAAGAACAGTTTCTTTATTTCGCTATTTTCTCATCTGCAGATTTAAATTATTCAATTATTGATATAAATCTAGGTATGTTTCTTGATCAATTAAATTTATATGTGAAAATCATAAATTCTAAAGATATTAGTATTAGGGTTTAAGTGCTCACACTAAAAGAGAACACGTTGCGTACACTCTTATATGACACCTCCCACAACTCTCCTCAATGGCAATCCCTCGCCTCCTGAGTTTTCACACTGGTTGAGATAGCCTCAACCTTGTAGGGGACTTGAGGGGTAACCTCATTGTTGAACTATGATTATTGAAGTGGATAGTAAAGTAAAAGATGAAACATAATCCATGTTGAGACACTACCCAAGCACCAAGTTGAGGCGGTAGTATCAGAGTCATGGTACTGACATCGTGGTGAAGAACCCTCGAGGTATTGACAACTTTTCTTTAGGAGGAAGAACGTAAATATGTGCACATGGTGTTCAAGATCGAGCTAGGGATTGACCAATTTTGGCCTCATCAGTATCAAATCTAGCAATTTTTATATACAAGCTGATAAATTATTAGTGAAATAAATGGGTAAAAAGAAGTGGCGGACAGTCAAGTTTCAAAATGATTTCACTTTGGTCGTTGCTAAAGTATATTATCCAAAATAATTATTATAATAAATTGTGCTTAGAAAATTTATACGGGAACATGTTAATTGGACCAGTAGCACTCCACCAATACATAATTACGACTTCCAATAAAATGCAAAAATGTTGAGGGAACAACTAAGGGTGAAGAGGCTGTTCGATTCGGGTATTTGAAAAATTGAAAAAAATTTAGGCACTTTATAAATGAAATTATTTGGTTTCATGCAGAATTTGAAAATGAATCAAAACCGATTTGGGAGGCTCAATCCTACATATCCATAGAAGCAATGAGTATGCACAAAATGATGTTCTAATCATCCAACCAATGGTGATGCACATGCACATGTATATTCTATAAGCCACATCAAGTTTTTCTAGATGAAATAGTTTGATAGTCGAGGGATTAAAATCGTAAGAAAAACTTAGCTGACTAAAATAAACTATTTAAAAAACTTGAAAGACCGTGCTCTATAAAGAAAATATATTTTGAAGAAACAAATTACTTTGGCAAGAACCTCAACTTTGATCAGTCTTGTATTATCCGGACCGGCTCGCATAGTTAACGAAGTTGGAACAGAGAGGGGAATATAATCCGCGTGACAAATTTTTCGAAGAGTCTCGAGTTCGTATATTTTATTATATTTTTACAATTAAAAATAATCAATAAATGACACGACACAAAAATTTCACTGGACAAAAATGGTAGCTCCGAGACCAACTTGGACCCCCTCGCATGGGCAATCGTTGTGCTAATACAAAAAGAGAAAAAAAAACCCTTATTTTTAATACAGAATATGTGTCTGCATTCTATCTCTTCAGAAACACTCGAAAACTCAGGCGGCTTCAATTGGTTTGCTGATTTGCTCTTTACATTTTTTCTGGTACATTTATGATTTTTTAATCTTATATATTCCAGTCGATTGTGTGCCGTGGAATAAGAAGGTTCGTTAGAGATTGATCGATCATATCAATTTGGTTAATTACGTTAAAGGGAAGGATTCTACTACGATTTTCAAGTGATATCACCATGGGAAGGCTTTTTGTGATCACGCTTGAAGGGAACTTGTATTCCTGCAAGTACTGCAAAACCCATTTTGCTCTGTCCGATGATATTATTTCTAAGGTCTCGCCTTTTTTTCTCATTGAATATATATTTACACGCGTGTTTACACTTGTGTGTTATATATATAATTTTTATTTTTATTTTATTATTATTTTTGATGTTTACGTACCTAAAATGATTAGAATACAAGCAACTTCAGCAATTCTTTCCGGCCGCTTTCAGTGGTACTATTTGGGATCTAATTTGGATTAAATTTTATACTGGTGAGTGAGAATACTGTTTCACAGCTTGGGGTTTATAGGTTATTTTTAGATCTGTTACCTTAATGCCAGACAAAATAGAATGTGAAATCATAATTTCAAGGATTTCTGATGTTGGATTAAACCTCGGTTTTGTTCCAATCGGGATTCGATAATGCCAAAGAGTTCCAGGAATGTGATATAGTGATGTATGATTCAGTATAACGAAGTTGATGTTCTGTTTATGCTTATGTGCATGATGTTTCCCTTGGAAATGCATATATATTTGTTGGGCTTTTAATGTCTACATAGGTGGTGTGCTGCTGGAATGTGGCTAATTATAGGAACTTCTTTTTGTTTATTAGTGAGAAATCTCTCTACATTGATCTGATGATTTTTGGCATCTAGTTGTTTCTTGAACAAGTGTTCTCTTTGTGAACGCGATGATTTGTTAGAGTTGAGTTGTGTTTTCATCATGAAAACAACCTTCTCTTGTCAATTAAAGTCAAGGAAAATATCAATTCCATCTTTTCCCCAAATCAATGAAACTATGAATATCCTTGTTTGTGAGTGGAGGTTGGAGTTAAGCAGGGAAGGATAAGAGGAACTTATCCCCCTTTTAACATTTATATTGCTGGAAAACTTTTTTACAACTCTTTTTTTCTGTATACTCATCCTTTGGTTTTCTTTTCTGACCTCTATTCTTGTATAATGGTTCAATTTTGAATTAGTAGTTCCATTCTGAAGAATGAAAATTCTGATTACAAATTAAAATTCCCCTCGTCTTGTTTGATCCAGAATTTACCAGTAGTCACAGTAAACTTACTAGTCCTTAATTCAAGTGTACAAAGTTAAAGTCTGCAAAAACCTCCAGTTTCTCTACCGTGTTAAATGCAAACTGTAAGAATGATCTCCTGTTGATCAACAAAGAATCCTTCATAATACAAATCACTTTTTTATTTCCCAGTTTCTGATAAGTTTTGTTACCTGGAGCAAACATCTCCAATGGGATCCTTTGTATTCATTATGAACTGAAGCCGAAGTACAATATATCATCTCACTGGTATTATGGGCATTCCTTCTATAACCCTACTTCAAGAAATCAGAATTAAGGTGCAACCTTTCTTATATCTGTTGACATATTTATATGCTATATAGAAAGTAGCACCTGCATGCCATGCTGTTTTCTGAAATCAGGTATTAGTTACTATGTAAGAAGCATTGATATATTACTTCAGCATATCTGTCATACCTATATTTCAGATTTCTTACCTATCAAACAACAAAAACAAGATACAAGCATTCTTCTTGTCTCTGTACACTTAGGTACACATCGTTGAATAATGTTTCCTCAGGGGACAAGCCAAAATTTTCATGATTTCTCTTCATATTTACTGGTGCTCATCCTTGCGATAAATTGTTCTTCCTTGGTGATATATTTAGAATATATGTAAAGGACAGCTCTGTTTTGGGGTTTGCTATCTCTTCTTTTTATGGTAGTTAGAAATTTTTGGGGCTTGTTTCAGTTGTCTTATCTATTACAGTCTAGTTTTTACAGTTGACCTTTGGCATGAATTAATATGCATGATTCCTAATCCGGTTTGTTTCACATGTTTCAGTCTTTCCACTGCAAGTATGGGAGTGCTTATCTCTTCAATAAGGTGTAAGTGTTCTTTGCTTTTTATTCTTCATGGTTAAGTTGCTTGAACTTTATATTGCAAGATGTCATTGTTTGTGACTTTGGTAAAATGGAATGCAGTAGATGCATGAAGGCTTAAACATTAATATCAAATTTTCCTTACAGATTTTTTTTTCTTGATGTTCAAAATCATGTTATCTGTAATAGACCCATTTTATTGCATACAGAATACTCAATTCATCACATTTTCGATTAAGGGTTTTGTTGATCATCTAGAGAATATCTGTAGATGGTCCCATTAGCTTTATTATTGTTAGCAATGTTAACTTTCTGTCCATTTGTGACAACAATGACACAACAACCTAAGCCTTTTTCTCGGTAAATTTAAGGCCGGCTGATGCAGCACCAACGGGACAGTTAATTGAGAAATAGAATAGATCTATAGGGAGAGGCAATTAAAGAGAAGAATGGGGAATTGGGGGGGGGGGGGGGAAAAAAAAAAATTAAAAAAAAAAAGGAAAAAAAGGGGG